CACACACACACCTGGTAACACACACACACACCTGGTAACACACACACACACCTGGTCACACGTCTGTGTTCTGATTGTTTCATGTCCAACAGGTGGCGACCCTGAACAAAGACCTGAATGTTTCTACACTGACCAGGTCAGTAAACACACACACACACACACACACACACACACACACACACGATAATGTTTTTGTAGCGACTGTTTCCTACGATTCAGTTTATTTGTATAGAACCAAATCACAATATAGATCTGAAGGCTGTAGAAGGTCGAGACCTTAAAGTTAAACCAACAGTTGAACAACTGGAAGAAAGAACCAGAGGTCAGAGGTCAAAGGTCACCTGACCTCATATGAGTCTGTAGAAGACTCACGTTGCTGTTTGTGTCCAGTGTTCAGAAACAGACAATCCCAGTTCTTCTGTCGGGACGAGACGCTGTGGTCCGATCTCAGACGGGATCAGGTGAGAACCACACAGGTCACATGTCAGCTGGTTGAAGTGGTGACGTTGTGAATGATTCATTAATCGAGTCCCTCGTGGTCAAACGTGTCTGCAGGTAAAACGCTTTCGTACGCCGTCCCCCTGGTTCAGAGTCTCCAGCTGGTGCGGCCGAAGGTCAGCAGGTCAGACGGTCCTCTGGCCGTCGTCATCGTCCCTACGAGAGAGGTTCGTCTGATCACGCGTGTTCTGACCACGCCCCTCTCTTCCTCAGCAGGAGGGCCGCCTTGTTTCTTTGTTTCCTCTGGGAGACGAGATGAGGGGCGGGGGCATTGTCTCTGCCTTCGTCCAATCAGAGCGTAATCTGACAGCTGCTGTCATAACATTAATCTCTGACTCCTCCCCCTCCATCAGCTCGCCCAGCAGACGCTGCAGATCTTCCAGAAACTTCTGAAGGTAGCGAGACTCCTCCTCCTGCTTCTATTTGCCCATGTGACCTGTCTGATCATTCATCGTCTCTCTGTCTGCAGCCGTTTACCTGGATCGTCCCAGGTGTTCTGATGGGAGGAGAGAAGAGGAAATCAGAGAAGGCCAGGTACGTAGCTCCGCCTCCTCTCCTCGGGATACCAGAGGTGCTGTGGCAGGGTGTGTCTTCTGCTGGACTGGGCGTGTCCTTGAGGAGGTGGTAAACGCTGTTCTTCTCTTCAGGCTCCGTAAAGGAATCAACGTCCTGGTCTCGACTCCTGGACGTCTGGTGGATCATATCAAACACACCCTGAGCATCGTGTTCAGCTCCGTACGCTGGCTGATCCTGGACGAGGCCGACAGGTAACCTTCTCACTCTTGTTTTACTTTCTTACATAAAATGATCTGTTCCCACCACTGTCTGCTGATGTCGTGATTTTAATCTGAAGTAAACTAATAAAATAAACGATTGAAGAACCTTGAGGAACATCTGTTCCACCTGATGTCACCACACAGATCCACAGTGAACTAGAAGCTGAGGAAGCTACTAACAGTTCCAGACAGAAGTTATGTGTGGACGTTGTGTTCTGTCTGGAGCAGTGATCGTGTCCCTCCGTCATCGTGTCTCCGTCATCGTGTCTC